GGCTCAGGAGATGGGTAATGTGACCCTGGGGAGCCCCTAGCCCGACCCCTGGCCTCATTGTGAGCCGCCTCCCCCCAGGAAGCAGGACTTGCTCCCTAATTCCCTGCTGGCTGCTGTGTGACCTTGCAGAGGTCAGGCAGGGTCTCTGGGCCCTGGATTCCTTGTGCATAAAATGGGAGACAGCTTGGTACCCCAATAACGTGGGCCTACAGGTCGGGGCCCTGCCTCCTGGCTCTCGCTGCGGCCCACGCCAGCAGACCCTCCTGGCAGCTGCTGGGCGTGTGCTGGTTGTTGAATGAATGAACGAACGAGGGAACACATGTGGGCAGGTGTCCCAGTCGCACATCCTGGGGCCCTGCCAAGTGGCCAGAACATTGGCGTCTTGACACCCACGAGCTGGACGTTCTGGACTGTGGTCTGGAGCCCCTGACGTGAGCCAGGCCCGAAGTAGCCCCTCCCCTCCCGCCAGCCCGCCCGGGTCGGGGCTCAGACGCGCTCCTCCTGTGGGCCCCCCCTGCCCCCACCTTAGCCGAGCCGCTGGGCGACGTGGGGAGGGCCAGACATCCCCGGACAGCCCCGGGACATGGACGCTGTGCCCTCCGCCGCTGCTGCCCTGGTGCAGGCCCTGCGTGTTCACACGCCCACGCGTGCACGTTCACACACGCTCACACGCCATTTGCAGCCGCAAGTGGCACGTGTGTTCACACCTGCACTTCGAGCACGTTCGCACGTGTGCTCTTAGGTGTGGATGGTCACATGCAGCTTGCATATCACACGCATGTTCACTCACACGCAGGAACGCCGCCTCATCGGCCGTTGCTGAGGCCTTTGTCTGATGGTGGCCCGGCTCACTGTTCCCGGAACGCCAGACAGCCGGGCTTTTACTCCCCACTGCAGAGGGCCCCTGCTCTGGCCAGGCCCTCCGACCGACCCCCAGCCTCCGACCTTTCCTCGTTGGCCTCGTTGGGCCATTTCAGCCAGAACATCTGGGAGTCCCGGGTGGAGGCATGCCTGGGGCCTGGTTGCTGTGGGGTGAGGCTTCTGTGGGCCCGAAGAGGCTCGTTGGGAAGGATGGTGGTCAGAGCTGTGCCCCTTGGTCTGGGCGCCCCGCGCGCTGGCTCTCAGGCGGACAGGACGGGAGTGGAGCTCCACCCCAGGGGCTGCACCTGGGTCCCCTGCAGCCGCAGCCTGAGCCCTGCCCGGCCGGCAGCCCTCCCCGCGGGGCTCAGTGCGACCTGAGACGTGGTGGGTGCCAGGGAGAGAATGAACCCAGGTGGGTGGGCAGAGAGCCAAAAGTGCCCCAGAGGCTGTGGCCCACGCCCGTGGATAGCAGAAGCCCGGGCAGGTCCCCGGTGAGGTGGGCAGAGCTGGCGGGAGCAGGCAGGGAGCCGGGGCGGGCCGCTGGGCAGCAGGCGGGAGGGACGGGGTGGGAGGGATGGGGAGCCATGCCAGACAAGGTGTGGCTGCTCTGTGCTGGGCCCTGCGGCAACCTGTCGGCATTCGACTGGAGCTTGCAGGCCCGGGACCCAAGTCCTGGCCTTCTGCGGAGTGGCTGGGGTGGGGCGGTCTAGGACTCAGTTTCCCCGCTGCCTCCCAGGCCCTGGCTCTATGCCCAGAGGACACCCCTCCACCAGGGCACCCCCCCAGGTAGAAGCCACACAGCGTGGGGGCCCATCTGCCACCCCGGGGCCTGGGCACAGAACGCCCAGCCTGGCCCACAGACAAGGCCCCGTGGTGCCCGCTCCAGTTAAAACGTCCACGTGTATTCACACGCATAGGGTGTAATGGACATGTAATGTGCACACCCAGTGTGCAGCTGGTTCCACGGGCTCTGACAAACGCAGCACGCGGAGCCGCGCTCTGCACCACGTCCGTGGTCAGCCTCCCGCCGCGCCCCAGCTGCTTTGGCCACCGGTCAGCTGTGTCAGGTTGTGTCCAGTTGTATGACGACGAGAAAAGCCCCAGTAGACACGCGCCCTGGCTTTCATGGGATCGTAGCGTCCATCTCTCTTGGGTTGTTGTTTTTCTCTGAGTCACGGGACAGGTGTCTGCCACCTTTAGGAGAAAGTGCCGAGCGTCTTGAGAGCGGCCACCCCACGTTGCAGGCCCTCTGGCATGCAGAAGGTGCCGCAGTGCTGCATGCTGGCCCACACCTGGACGTCGGCGTTGCGACTGCTGAGGCCCTTCCAGCGGGTGTGTGCTGCTGTCTCATCGCCACCTGTGGTGCTGAGAATCTCCTCCCGTGCTGGTTCCGGGCAATCCCGGACGACTTTCTGAGAAGAGGCCGAGGAGAAGCACCTGGGTCGTGGGCCGGCTCTCCAGCCTCCCAGCAGGTGGTGCTGGGCCCAGCACCCAGCAGATGCTGGCACACGGTGGCACCCGGCACAGGATAGGGCCCAGCACACAGTAGGCACTGCACACAGTGGGACTAGGCACATGGTAGGATCTGGTGCACAGTAGGCACGGGCACACAGTAGGTGCTCAGTAAATGGTGAGTGAGGCATCTGCCTCTTCCCTGGGACCGGCCTGTCCTTTGGGAGAACACGGTCCCTCCCAGCATAGCCGGGCTCCAGTGTTTGCGAGCCCAGCTGCGTGCAGCCTGGAGAGGCCCGTCTTGGGGGGACGGCTGTGGCTGTGAGCCGGGTGTGACAGCACGAAGCTGGGGCCTGGAATCTGTGGGGATCTGGCGACTCTGAGGCCCTGGGCCTTGGTGAGCGTGGCCGTGGGCCCACTGCTGGAGAGGCCGGCGTGGCAGGAAGGCTCCCAGCACCAGGGAGCTGGCTGGTCGGGGCCATGGCAGAGTCTGGCAGCCACGTCCCTTGTCACAGGGGTGTCCGCAGCTGGGAGAGGCTGGCGCAGCCCGAGGGGGGCGCCGCTGATGCAGGCTGAGGGCCAAACGGCCATACCCGAGCTGGGCCGCAGTCAGGGACCCTGGCCAGCGCCCATCCTAAAATACTGCGGTTGCTGTCACAGCGCCTGAAATTAGGCATCTTGGCGGCTGGCTGTCGGGAAAGGACGGGAACCAGACAGACTTGGGCAAGCGCTTCCCTCCGTCTTGCGGCCTCTGGTTCTGGCTGGGCCAGGGGTGGGCCAGTGGGAACGTGGAGTGCACGGCAGAGCAGGAGCTCGTCACCCACTGCGGCTGCAGCAGGCTGGCCTCCCCCAGCTTGGGCTGCCGCCTCGCGTCCTGAGGCACTGCTGCCACCTGCTGGGCACCACGGGCAGCGCAGCCGAGGGCTCCTGCTGGGCAGGGAGCCCCAGACCCGGCGCCACCCAGGTGACCTGGGACCAGGACCTGACGTCTTGGAGCCTCAGTTTCCCCTTCTGCGCGAGGGCAGACACCCTGGCGTGTGCCTTGGAGGTCTGGGGGTTCAGAGACGAAGGCGGCCGAGCGCTCAGCCGGGGCCTCGCTGGCCGTGTACAGGGGCTGGCAGGGGCCCTCCTTGCAGACGTCTCTCCTCCAGCCGGCCGCGAGAGAGCTGCAGCTCAGCCACGTCTGCGTCCACACTCAGCTCACGAGGCTGACCCGGGGCCTGGGGAGGCCGGCCTTGATGCGAAGGCAAGTGGACTTCAGCTTTCCCCGGGCCAAGTGCTCGTTTGGTCAGTCAGCGAACACTTTGGGTAGGGCCCTGCTTGGGCTTAGGGGACACGGCAGTGGCCCCGTTCCCAGCGCACACAGAGGGATGTGTCTGTGGTGCCGTGTGCCGGGCCGGGGCACGTCAGCCTCTCCCCGGGCTCTGAGGGCTGTGGGGACCTCTGAGCTGTTGGGGAGGGAGCAGGCCCCGTCTGGCACCGTCCCGAGACGGACAGACCGGGAGGCGCCAGCTGCCCCCTCCCTGACACCAGGCTGCCGCCTTTTTATGGCCACATGTCTCGGGAGCAGAGCAAACAGCCCGTCTCCATGGTGTCAGGAATGGGGCCGCCTTGGCGGCTGGGCTCTGCGCTCCAGCAGGGGGGCCGCACGCGCCTGGGCCCTCACAGCACCCTGAGCCGGCCTCGCAGGGCACCTCTCCCCCGTGGCAGCAGGACCCACTCCCCAGACAGGGCGCTCAGAAGCTCACGGCAGTTTGTACAGGAGCCCGCAAACCCTGACCGGGTGACCCCACCCCTGGAATGTGCCAAGGACAGCGGGGCGCCCCGTGGACAGTCGGTCACACGGAGCACAGCAGAGCTGCTCATGGGACCGAGAACTGGAGACAACCAGGCGGCCATCCACGGGGCCTGGGTTGGCAGGGCAGCGTCCGCAGGGTCCCGTCGGTGAGGAAAACGGACGAACCACTGACGTGGGGGCAGCCCCGTGAAGCTCCAAAAAGGGTGGTGTCCAGTGAAACCCAGCCAGGCCCCGGTGTCCCCCGGCTCCTCTCGGATAGGCAGAGCGAGTGGGACGTGGGGGCCTGGGAAGGGCACCTGTGCCCAAGGGCACCGCGCTCCGGTCCTGCTGCGCCAGCAACCCTGTGGCTCCCGGCTCCTCGGGGCCCAGCCCCCACCGCCGGGCCAGTGGGGGCAGCAGGGCCAGCCGCTCCCCGCACTCTGACCACCGCCACGGCGCCCTGTGCTGCCGCGGCCCCGTCTCCCACTGCCCCCTCACGAGGACCCTGGCCCAGCCCAGCCCCTCCCTCACCTGCCAAGTCAGTTGTGCTGAATAAGGTGACGTCCCCAGGTTTCTGGGACTAGGGGGCGGACGCCGGCCCGCACAGGGGTCTCTTGGGTCCACTGACGCCGAAGCTCCCTTCCCACGGCGCTGCCACCTCCAGGAGGACACCAGGGAAGAGACGAGCAGCCCGTGGGAGGCAGCAGCGGCCAAGGCTCCCGGCACCCTGCATCTGCCCAGCTCGCGCCCACCCAGCTCGCGCCCACCCAGCCTCCCCCCGGGGCTGACGTCCCTGGGGACGGGCAGGACGGCTGGCCAGAGTCCCCTGCCCGTGCCCTCCGCGTGGTCAGGATGGCGGCCTCGGCCCCGTCCCTTGTGACCCTCTGACCCACGGCCCCCTTCTCCCCAGGATACCGAGAGGGCTTCCTCTGGAAGCGTGGCCGGGACAACGGGCAGTTTCTAAGCCGGAAGTTTGTGCTGACGGAACGAGAGGGAGCCCTGAAGTATTTCAACAGGAACGACGTGAGCCGGGCTCGGGGGCAGGCGGTAGCAGGTGCTGTCGTCGGGTAGTGTCCTGGCCTCCCCTCCAGGACAGCCGCACCACCTCTTCAGCTGCCCACATGCATCCTGGGAGCCATGCTGGTCCCACAGGCACATGCCACCCCCCATGGGGACATGCCACCCCCATGGGGACACACTGTTCCCCCCATGGGGACATGCCACCCTCCATGGGACACGCCACCCACCATGAGAACACGTCACCCCATGTGGGGACATACTACCCCCCCATGAGGACCTGTCACCCACCCCTTGTGAGGACATGTCACTCCCCTGGGACACCCCCATCCGCCCCTCACTCACAGTCACTCCCCAGGGCCAGGCCTGGGTTGGGCGATGCTGGGGGCACAGAGATGGCCAGCCCTTCCTCGGTGGGCACTCCCAGGCTTGAGAAGGACAGAGGGGGCTGGCTGAGGTCAGTGGTCACCCCACCCAGCAAGCACATGTTGCAGTGACCCTGGAACCCCCAGGCAGCTGTGGGGAGGGGCGGGGGTCTGGAAGGCCCTGCAGCTGGCCGAGCCCGGCCCCACCAGCTCCAGGTGGGAACATCCCCCTGTGGGACAGAAACCACGGGCAGCTTCTGGCCCTTGACCCCACAGCCAGCCAGCCCCCTGTGCAAGGAGAAGAGAGATGCCAGGCTGACAGGACAGGACAGGGAGGGCCTGGCGTTGGGTGGGGGCAAACCAGACAGAGCAGCTGTGTGCCCAAGGGCCAGAGGAGGGGTCTACCTAGAGGTGAGCGCCAGCCTTTGCCATCCCCTGGGAGGGGGATGCTGTTACCTTAGACCGACAGACCAGGAAGCCTGGCCCAGAGAGGGTAAGTAGCTCACCCAAAGCCACACAGCACAGGATATCTGTGGCCAGCATCGGCAGAGCCCGCCCTGCCTGCCCCCTGGAGCTTGGGGCTCTCTGCCCACCTGGCGCTGAGGCCCGGCCTTGCTTCCCAGGCCAAGGAGCCCAAGGCCGTCATGAAGATCGAGCATCTGAATGCCACCTTCCAGCCAGCCAAGATCGGCCACCCCCACGGCCTGCAGGTCACCTACCTGAAGGACAACAGCACCCGCAACATCTTCGTCTACCACGAGGACGGGAAGGTGGGTGCGTGGGCTGGCTGGGGGGTGGGGTGGGGCAGAGCTCGCTACCCACCCAGGGCGGGAGTTGGGGGCTGGAGGGGCCCGGAGCCACGCGAGGAGGTGGTGGCTGTGCCGGCCTGCACGTCCCGCCCTGGCGGCCCCCTCCCTCCCACCAGCGTCTCCGGAGGGCGCGGCAGGGCCCTGAGCAAACCCCACGTCCGTGCTTTGGTCGGCAGTGCCCGCTCTGCCCCTTCGGCCTTCGTCGCGAGCGTGTGTGCCCGTGGTTCGACAGCGAGAGCGCCTGGGCTCGTCCCCAGAGCAGCGGCCGTCAACCCTGTTCTTCCCTTGTTTGTGGTGTCGAAATACCCGTAACACAGCAGTTCCCGGCTCGACCGTTTCCAGTGCACAGTTGGGGCGCTGAGCACGCTCACGCTGTCGTGCGGCCGTCACACCATCACCTCCAGGACGTTCCCTCACGCCAGAGAAACTCGGTCCCCACTGAACACTCGCGCCCCTCCCTGTCCCCAGCCCCGGCCCCTCCGTCTGCTTTCTGTCTGTGAACGTGACGACTCAGGGACCTCATGCAAGTGGGATCGCACAGTGTGTCCTTGGTGACTCACTCGTTTCACTGAGTGTCGTGTAAGGGGGGTCCATCCGCGGGGGAGCAGGTGTCGGGGTCTCCCTCCTTTTCAAGGCTGAGTGGTGCTCCCCTGTGTGGGTGGACCACGTTCTCTGTCCATCATCCCTCGGTGGACACGTGTCGCTTCCGCCTCTTGGCTGCTGTGAACGTGGGTGTGCGAATATCTGGTTCAACACCCCGCTTCAGTTCTTTGGGTCTACACCCGGGAGTGGAATTGCCGGGTCGTATGGTGCTTCTACTTTCGGTGTTTTGAGGAGCCCCCAGACTGTTGTCCACAGCAGCTGCCCCATCTCACGTTCCCGCCAGCCGTGCGCCTGGGCTCCGGTTTGCCCTCTGACACGAGTTTCTGCTTTTTTCAGTTTAGCCGCCTAATGAGCGTGCGGTGGCGTCTCCTTTTGATTTGGATCTGCGTTTCCCTGGTGATTAGTGATGCTGAGCATCTGTTCATGTGCTTGTTGGCCATTCATATGTCTTCTTTGGGGAAGTGTCTGTTCAAGTCCTTTGCCCATTTTTTAATCAGGTTGTTTGGTTTTTTTGTTGAATTTGAGGAGTTCTCTGTATATTCTGGGTATTTATCTCTAGTCAGATATATGATTTGCAAATATTTTCTCCCATTCTGTGGATTGTTGTTTTACCCTGTGGATAGTCTCTCAATGCATACAATTTTTAAATTTTCATGAAGCCCAATTTGTCCGTTTTTTCTTTTGTTGCCTGTGCCTTTGGTGTCGTATCCAAGAAATCATTTCCAAACACAAAGTCGTGGAGCTTTTGTCCTGTTTTCTGCTAAGAGTCTTATCGTTTTAGGTCTTCGTTTAGGTCACTGATCCCTTTTGAGTTAATTTTTGTACGTGGTGTTAGGTGAGGGTCCAGCTTCGTTCTTTGCGTGTGGGTGTCCAGGTTTCCCAGCACCGTTTGGTGAAAAGTCTGTCCTTTCCCCATAGAATGGTCTCGTCAAAAACCGTTTGATCGTGTACGTGAGGGCTCATTTCTGGACCCTATTCCGTTGGTCTACGTGTCTGTCTTTATTGCCAGGACCACACTGTTTTCATTACTGTGGCTTTGTAATAAGTTTTGAAATCAAAAGTGAGATTCCTGCAGTTGTATTCTTCCTTTTTAGGGTTGTTTTGTCTATTTGAGTTCCCTTTAGATTGCATATGAATTTTTTCAGATGCTTCTTGAGCATCAGTTGAGATGATCGAGTGTTTTTTTCCCTTCATTCTGTTAAGTGGGGTATTATGCTGATTGGCTTTCACGTGTTGAGCCGTCCTTGCATTCCAGGAATAAATCCCACTTGGTCATGGGGCGTAATCCTCATACGCTGCTGAATTCAGTTTGCTGGTATTTTCTGGAGGATTTTGCATCAATGATCGTCGGGGATATTGGTCTGCAGTTTTCTTTTCTTGCAGCGTCTTTGTCTGGCCTTGGTGTCAGGGTCGTGCTGGCCTCGTAGGATGGGTTAGGAAGTGTCCCGTCCTCTTCAGGTTTGTGGAGAAGTGTGAGAAGGCGGCTCTTTGAGTGTTTGGTGGGATTCCCCAGGGCAGCCACGGGGCGCAGGGCTTTTCTGTGCTGGGAGGTTTTCCATCACTTGTTCAGTCTCCTTGGTTGTTAGAGGTCTGCTCAATGTCTGTCTGCCTGATTTAGTCTTGTGTTTCTGGGAAGTTGACCATTTCACCCAGGTTGTCCAATTATTCAGTGTAAATTGTTCATAGTACTGCCTTATAATTCTTTTCATCTGTTGAATTGGTAGTAACGTCTCCTCTTTCACTTCTGATTTTAGTAATTTGACTCTTCTCTCTCTTTTCCTTTGTCCATCTTGCTAAAGGTTTGTCAATTTTGTTGATCTTTTTGAAGAGCCAACTTTTGGCTTCATTTATTTTCTCTCTTGTTTTTCCGTTCTCTATTTCATTTATCTCTATTTTTTCCCCTTTCCTCTTGCTTTGGGTTTAGTTTGTTCCTCTTTTTCTGGTTCCTTAAGTTGTAAAGTTAGGCTCTTGATCTGAGAGCTTTCTTGTTTTTTAATGTAAGCATTTCCCCCTTAGTACTGCTTTTGCTGCATCTTGTAAGTTTTGTTATGTTGTGTTTTCATTCTTATTCTTCTCTAAGTATTTCCTGATTTCCCTTGTGACTTCTTCTCTGATCTGTTGGTTGTCTGCCTTTCACAATTTTGTGAATTTTCCAGTTTTCTGTATGTTACTGATTTCTCATTTCATCTTGTTGTGGTCAGAGAAGATGCTTTGTATGAAACCTATTTTTTAAAACCCACTGAGACTTAATTTCTGGCCTAATATACGGTGTGTCCTGGAAAACGCCCCCTGTGCGCTTGAGAAGAATGTGTCTGCTGAGTCGTGGGCTCTGTTCCGTTAGATCTAGTTGGTCCGCTGTGTTACGCCCTGTGTCTCCTTACCTCTCTTCTCTCTGGTTGTTCTGCCCATCCCTGTGAGTGGGGTGTGGAAATCTCCAAATATTATTGCAAAACTGTCTATTTCTCTCTCCAGTTCTGTCAGGTTTTGCTTCGTACATTTTGATGGTCTGTCATTAGGTGCATAAACGTTTATAATTGTTTTGTCTTCTTTCTACATCGAGGCTTTGATTGACAGATAACGTCTTTGTCTCTTGTAATGTTTTTAACTTAAAATGCATTCTGTCTGATAGTCGTACGGCCACTCCTGCTCTCTGCTGGTCACCATTCGCCCGGACTATCGTTTCCATCCTTTCACCTTCAACCTGTCTGTGTCTTTGGATCTAAGTGTGTCTCTTGCAGACAGCATGTCGTTAAATCACGTGTTTTTATCCATTCTGCCACTCTCTGTCTTTTGATGGGAAGAGTTTAATCCATTTACATTTAAAATGATTACTGATAAGAAGGGACTGACTTCTGTTTGTGTTCTCTATGCCCTGTAGCTTTTTTTGTGTGTCATTTCCTGCCTTCCCGGCTTCTTTTGTGTTTAGTTGACTTGTGTAGTGAAATGTTTAAATTTATTTTTAATTACCTTTTGTGTATATTCTTTAGCTATTTTCTTTGTGGTTACCATGGGGATTACATTTAACTTCCTAACGTTGTAACATTCTGATTTGAGTTTATACCAGCTGACATCAGTAACGCAGAGACACCGTGCTCCTTTATAGCTCCATCCCACTCGTGTCAGTTGTTGATGTCACAGAATTACATCTTTATGATCGTGTGCCCCAAAAGATAAACAATTCTTTTAACTGCATTAGTCTCTTAAATTACATAAAAAACAAAGAGTACAGTTCCAAGCTGTTGTTCCAACAGTACTCGCCGTTATCCTTGCCCACGTGTCGTCCTTTACTGAGATCCGCATTTCTCCCTGTGGCTTCAGGGTGCTGTCCAGCGTCCGTTTGTCTCGCCTGCAGGACGCCCGTGAGCACTTCTTGCAGGGCAGGTCCAGTGGTCGCACCCCCTCAGCTCTTCTTTATCTGGGAATGTCTTGATTTCTCCCTCTTTTGAAGAACCGTTTTCCTGGATATAGGATTCTCGATCGACAGTTTCTTTCTTTGAGTCCTTTGACGATATTGGCTGTCTTCTGCTTGTAGTGTTTGTGACGAGAGATCTGCTCGTCACATTACGAGTCCCTTTTATGTGGTGAGTCACTTCCCTCCTGCTGCTTTCAAGAGTCTCTCTTTGTGTTTTGAAAGTTTGACTGTAATGTGTCTCAGTGTGTGCTTCTCGGAGTTCATCTTGCTTGGAGTTCTTTGAGCTTTGTGGATGTTCATAGTCGTGTCTTTCAAAAGATTTGGGAAGTTTTCAGCCAGACTTCTTCAAGTGTTCTCTTCTGCCCGTTTCTGTCTCTCCTCCCTCTGGGACCCCCGTGGTGCGTGTGCTGGTCCTCTTGATGGTGTCCCGCGGGTCCCTCAGGCTCTGCTCAGTCTTTTCTGTCTGTTTCTCAACCTTGGTCGTTTCCTTGTCCTTGTCTTCAAGTTCACTGGTTCTTTCTTGTCCCTGCTCGAGTCTGATTTGACATCCTCTAGTGAATGTTTCATTTCAGTTATCGGTCTTCTAACTCCAGAATTTCCTTTTGGTTTCATTTTAGGTTTTCTTTTTATTGATACTTCCATCTTGTTTATGCATCATTTTCTTGAGTTTCTCTACATCTTTCTTTTGTTCTTTGAGCATCTTTAAGACTGTGTTTTAAAGTCTCTCTAAAGACTATCTGCCATTAGGGCTTTTCAGGGAGATTCTGTTGACCTATTTTTTCTTTTGAATGGGCCATACTTTCCTGTTTTCTTGCGTGCCTTCGGGTTTTTTGTTGTTGTTGAGCATGGACATTTGAATCTAGTAGTCTGGTAACTCTGGAATCAGATTCTCCCCCTCCCCAGGGTTTGCTGTCTTTTGTTATTTTAGTTTTTTGATTGTGTATGCCATCTCTGTGTAGGCTGAAGATGAGCCGGGTGTAAACTTCAGGTCTTCTTAGGCCTTTGGGCGTGCACGGTCACTTACTAATTTTCCTCTACGTGCAGTTGCTTGTGAATGTCCTAGTCTTTAATGTCTGGTCCCAAAGGGAAGAGCAAAAAATGAAGGTGAGAAGAAGATGGTGCTGGCCCTTCAATCCCCTGGAAGTCACTTCAGCCAGAGGGGGAGGGGCTTGCCAAGCGGGGCAGGGGCAGCAATGGTCACCCCCCTCTTTGTCTGCACCCTCATGATCAGAAGCAGCAGTCAGTCATGAGAGCGCAGGCCCCTGATACTTGGAGGACAGAGCCCTCCTTGCCCACCCCAGCTCATGCGAGCTGTGTGCAGGCCACTGCAGGAACACGGCACAGCTGCCCGCTGTGGGTAGGGGCAGGACGTGAGAGCTGCTGCTGTGCTCAGAGCTAAAACTGACCAAAATTAACCGCAGTTTGTGTCCAAGTCTTCCCCTGGAAGTTGCAAGATTTCAACAGACTTGAGTTTCAAAATAGTTACCGTCACACGTCACGCAACGATGGGCACATGTTCTGAGAAGGGTGTCATCGTGCGAACGTCACAGACTGCACTCACGCAAATGCAGATGGCACAGCCCTCCACACACCCAGGCTACGTGGTTCTCATCCTGGGGACCATCGTGTGTGTGCCGTCTGCCGTTCACTGAAATGTCATGATGCAGTGTGCGACTGTACCTCAGACAGACCCCTGGTGCCGTTGGTGTCCAGGTGGGGGGACAGTTTCCAGGTGCTCCCTGCTCTGCCATCTTCCCAGAATCCCCTTTTCAGCTCTCCGTCCAGGCGTTGGAATAACACGCGTGTCCTGCTGCCCGATCTTCTGCGGAGGCCACACTGACGACTGCCCACTGTGGAAGACGAGGCTCAGCTCCCTCCTGCCCCCGCCCCTCACGCGCACGGCCGTGTCCCATTCCCCACCGCCCGTCACACTTACACCGCAGTCTCGCCCCTGTGTCTTCAGCGTTTGCGGTGTTGTGACGCTGAGCAGTGGAGCAGACCGTATCACTTTCCTTTCCTGCGTGATCTTTTCTCTCCCCTAGACCTGGTGGCTGTCTTTTTCCCCTCTAGTGAGCTTGTGCTCGTCGCTAACTCACCCACACTCTCCGCGGATTGTCTGGGTCTCTGGATGTGGTCAGGCGCCCGGGCAGCAGCCGACTTCAGCCCTCTGGAGGCGCCCCTCCTGCAGCCCCGTCTCACTGCGGGGCTGGCTCTGCTCCCTGGGCCCCTATTCCTTCTCACTTTCCTCCCTCCTCTTGGTGGAGCACGTCCTTCAGTGGTTTTCTGAGAAAGTGCCTGGGAAGCAAGTTTTCAGAGACCCTGCACATCCGACAGCTTTACCCTCTGAGTGATGTAGAGTTTGGCTCATCATAGAATTCTGAGTTGGACCTGACGTCCCGTCGTGACCCTGAAGGCACTGCCCCACTGCCTCCTTGGCCCCGGACAGTTGCTGATGACCTCCCCACATCTGGGCCCGTCTCCCTCTTCTGTGCTGGAGCTCGGTGACTCCTCCCCACCCAGGGATTCACGTCCATGAGGTCGAGGAGTATTTCCTTCAATTATTTGACAGTTTCCTCCCCCACTTTCTCTGCTGCTGTTTTCTGGAACTCATCATTCAGCCATCGGCTGTCTCAGATTGGTTCTCTCTTGTGTTCGCACTTTTATTTCTCTCTACTTTCTGGGAAGCTTCAAGTTTGTCTTCCAGCTCTTCTGTTGGAAGTTGTACTTCTGCTTGCGGTGTTTTAATTCTGCGGAGCTCCCTTTGGCTCTCGGAGTGTTCGTTTCACAAAGGGCACTGTTCCTGTTTTCTAACCTGATTGTTCTTGTCAAATCCTGAAGCCGGCTTCTCCCTGAGCAGCGTGTCTCTCTGGAGTTGCTGTTTCCTGTCTGTTCCCGTGCTCTGTTCCCTGTCTTCCGCGTGCGCCCTCCTGGGGGGCTGTCAGATTCTCCCGAGAGCACTCCTCCGCCTCGTGCCGACGCGGTTGCCCCCCGCACTGTGGGGCTGAGCGGGATGGGGCTCTCGGGCCTTGGTGTGTGCGTAGTCACACAGTTCCCCGTGTCTGGAGCGGTGCCCCCACGTGCACGCCCGCGCTGGGGCTCCCCGTCTCCTGGGCCAAGACCCTCCTCCGCCCTCTGCAGAGAGTGAGCTCCGTCCTCTGCGGGGCGAGGGCCGTCTGTCAGCCAGCTCTCCCGCAGCCCCTCCCACGTCCAGGGGGCCGAGGGCAGCTCACTGCCAGCCCTTGGGGGCTGCGTCCCCGCCACCCCCTTGGCTTGGGTCTCCCGTCCTCAGCAGACCTGCGTCTGCTGCGGCCCTGCCCACCTCACGGGTGGAGGCCTTGAAGCAGCCCAGCTGCTGGTGCAGCGTTTACAGGTGTTAGCAGGGAACCTGGCTCAGGCGCGCGCCGGCCTCGGCTTTCTCCAGGAGCTCTGCCCCCGCTGTCCTCGGGGAGACCAGGCCAGGGAGGGAAGGGGCAGGTGATGGAGCCCAGGGCCTTTCCATGTGCACAGCGGCCCCTCTCCTCCCTGCCCCTGAGAGCCTGGTGCCTGGCCTGGTGCTTGGATGCAGCTGCGCCCATTAGATGTGGCTCTGCCCCAGGGGAGGGAGAAGGAACCGGAAGACTCAGTGGTGCCGGGCATGGGGTGGGGGCACCAGGGATGAGCTGAGGCTCCTAGCAGGGTCCAGAGTGGAGGTCACGGCCTGGATTTGCAGGGCTGGGTCAGGGGTCCTGTGCTGGCCATGGGGGGCGAGGCTTGCGCGGGGCGGGGCCTCGAGGGGCATGGCCTGTGAAGGGGCTCAGGGTGGGGCTTGTGGAGGCGGGGCCTCTGAAGGGCGGGCCCTGTGGTGGGCGGGGCCTCAGGGGTCCAGTGGAGGCGGGGCCTGTGGTGGGTGGAGCCTTGGCAGGGCCTGAGGGGCGGGGTCTCTGGGGTGGGGCCTCAGGGGTCCAGTGGTGGAGGGGCCTGTGGGGGGCGGAGTCTGGGCAGGGCCTGAGGGGCGGGGCCTGAGGTGGGCGGGGTCTGGGTGGGCCTGAGGGGGCGGGGTCTAGGCAGGACCTGAGGGGTGGGACCTGAGGTGGGCGGGGTCTGGGTGGGCCTGAGGGGCGGGGGCCTGAGGTGGGCGGGGTCTAGGCAGGACCTGAGGGGCGGGGCCTGAGGGGCGGGGGCCTGAGGTGGGCGGGGTCTAGGCAGGACCTGAGGGGCGGGGCCTGAGGTGGGCGGGGTCTGGGTGGGCCTGAGGGGGGCGGGGGCCTGAGGTGGGCGGGGTCTAGGCAGGACCTGAGGGGCGGGGCCTGAGGTGGGCGGGGTCTGTGGGGCGGGCGGCCGGGAGCAGCGGGGCGCCTCTGGGCGGCTGGGGCGGTTCCGAGCAGCGGGGCGTTAAGCGGCCGTCTGAGAGCAGGAAGGGCCGCCCGGCCCCGCCCGCTGTGCCCGCCCCTCCCGAGCGGCCTGCCCGACCCCGCGCCGGGCCACACCGGACGCTCTGGTGCGTGGTCGTCGCCCGCGTGGACCGCCCTCCCCCGTGGGCCTCCCCCCTGCACGGCGCCCCGCGCGGCGGCCCGGCCTGAGTGGGGGCAGCCCGTCCTCGACCCCGGCGCCCGGAGGAGGGGCCGAGGGGGCAGGGCTCCGGGGGCGCCCGCCCTGGCCGCGGCCCACACCGCCTCTGCCCGCAGGAGATGGTGGACTGGTTCAACGCGCTCCGAGCCGCCCGCTTCCACTACCTGCAGGTGGCCTTCCCGGGCGCCAGCGACGCAGACGTGAGTGGCGCGGCTGTCCCCCTGGGGGTCGTGCTTCCTAGCGGGGGGTGGTGTCGGGGGCTGACCAAGGGCCCGCCTGGGCCCCAGAGTGCCCTGCCCTGCCCGCCGAGGCCCCGGGAGGTGACCACAGGGCCCCTGCTCGACGGGGCCCGGGGCCGCGGGGCCGGGCTGAGCCGCTCTCTGCCGCAGCTGGTGCCGAAGCTCTCCAGGAACTACCTGAAGGAGGGCTACATGGAGAAGACCGGGCCCAAGGTGGGTGGGCCCGCTGCCGGGCTCCGAACCTCGGGCCCCTGGGGGCGGCGGGAGGCCGGGGGTGCCAGCCACCCTCCCACGCGCGGCGCGGCTGCCTGTTTCAGGGGGTCATCTTGGCATGGGTCGCCTGGCCCGGAAATGTTTTGTAAGAAAGGGGCCCCACTGGCCCGGACGGTGGGGCTCTGGGTCAGGCCCCAGCCCTGCCTCGCCCCTGTCACATACCTGTCCCCTACTTGGGCCAGGCGCCCCCACTGTGCCCTGTGGAGTCAGCTCCGCCCTTCCCTGCCATGGGCTGGGGTAGGGGGCAGACACAGGTGACTCCGATCCCAGGTCCCGGGTGGCCTCGCAGGCCAGATGGGGGCGCTTTGGGGAAGTGTGGTGCAGAGCAGCCTGTCACCCACGCCAGGACCCTACCTGAGGCCCACAGGGAGGTCTGGGGGTCAGCCCGGTGAGGAGGAGCTGTGCAGAGGGAGGGACAGCATGTGCAAAGGCCCTGTGTGCAGCCAGGGTGGGAGGGCCACAGCAGAATGCAGCATGGCCTGCAGGAGGCAGCAAAGAGTGGACGGGTGGGTGGATGAACATCCGGCCCTGGCCTCCTGGTGGGGAGCTGTGGTCAGCTGGGGACAGGGGCCTGCCTCGGGCCGACCAGCCAGTCACTGCACGCTCTGACGCACAGCAAACAGAAGGCTTCCGGAAGCGCTGGTTCACCATGGATGACCGCAGGCTCATGTACTTCAAGGACCCCCTGGTAAGGAAGGGCCGGGGCCGTGGGTCAGCCAGGCCTCGGGGGGACGGGCTCCTACTCCCCTCATCACCCTGGATCTGGGGGCCCAGGCAAAGCTGGGCGCAGGGAGGAGGCACAGCCCTGGCTGCCCCCTTGCATGAGGTGGGCCGGCCGGGGGCCCGGGACCAGCCGCTCAGCCTGGCCCCGCCGGCAGGACGCCTTCGCCCGAGGGGAGGTCTTCATCGGCAGCAAGGAGAGCGGCTACACGGTGCTGGACGGGCTCCCGCCGTCCACCCAGGGCCACCACTGGCCACACGGCATCACCATCGTCACGCCGGAGCGCAAGTTCCTGCTGGCCTGCGAGACGGAGTCGGAGCAGCGGGCGTGGGTGGAGGCCTTCCGCAAGGTCGTGGACAGGCCCATGCTGCCCCAGGAGTACGCAGGTGAGGGCCGGGCGGGGCGGCCTGGGGACTGTGCCCGCACCCCGTGTGGCCCTGACCGGCTGGACGCCTGTCCCTTTTGCAGTGGAAGCGCACTTCAAGCATAAACCCTAGCGGAGACCGTCCTGGTGGCCGAGGGACTGGACTCACTAGACGCGGCCGGCGAGGCGGCGGCCGGATGCGGGGCTGTGGACGGAGGGCGCGGGCCAGCCCCTGCCCCACCCCGAGGGGCAGCCCGGATGCGGCCGCGGGGCCTGAGCCTCAGCCACCGGGACCTGTTTCTCTGGAAGCTCACAGCGGGCTGCCCGGCCTGACCTCTGACCCCATCATGCTGCTGCCCCGATCTGTGACACCCCCTCCCACACCCCTCCCCACGGACCCTCCCTCCCTGAGGCCCGGCCCTGCCCCCAGGAGGACTTGCCCCGACAGGAGGCTGGGCCTGGGGACAGAGGGCCAGCCTGCATGCCTCCCCGCCCACTGCCATCCTGCCCACGTCCCCCGGCCCCCCAACACGTATTTATTGAGCATCTGCTGTGTGTCAGTCGTGGGGCGCTGGGGCGCCTGCCTGGGTCGGGGGGGAGACGGGAGGGAGACGGGAGGGGGAGCACCTCGAGTGCCCGGCTTGGCACTGACCAGCCACCCACCCTACTAGCCTGACCTTGAGGCCTTTGAACCCTTGGAGGGTGGCGGCCTGAGCTGCCATGAGGCCAGTAGAGGCCTGGGCCCCACTCACCCCCACCGGCCCCCAGCGTGCTGTGGGCTGGCCAGTAGGTGCAGCCACCGAGCCCCCTCCCCAGGTGGCCTGGCTCTGTCCACTGTGGGCGGGCATCTGTGAGAACGGCTGGGGGGTGGGGACGGTGCACGGGGTGCGGTCTCCCTAGGAGGCTGCAGTGTGTCACTGCGGGGGAACCGGGCTGCCCCAGCTCTCCCGTCCTGCTCGGCTGAGACGTGTCCGCTGCAGGGGAGCCCTGGACCAGCCCTCGAGGGGACTGGGAGAGGGTCCCCAAGGCGGGGCATTCTCCCCACCTTGTGTCACATCCTGGAATAAAGTGGGCTCTGGCGTGGCCTCATTTGTGTGTCCGCGGCTGGGGAGGGGGCTCAGGCCCCCGGGAGGACCTGCCGCCTGGCCTCAGGTCCACGCCGGGAGGAGGGGCACCCCCAGGAGCAGGGCACCCGCGGGCCTCTGCCTGGGCTCATGGCCGAGTCCCAGCGCCCCAGAACAGCCCAGGGCAGGTGGGCCTGGGGTCGTCCTTCGTGCTCTGAGCCCCCGTCTCGCTCTGCGCCTGAGCGCCCCGCCCACCAGCCCAGGCTCCGCGTAGACCCGGCTGCTCAGGCGGCGCGAGCTCCTCACAGAGGGTCCTGGCCCCCATCCCAACTGACCCAAGGCTGCCAGGGCCCGAGACGGCTGGGCTGGGGGTGAGGACGGCCACAGGGGGCCCTGGCCCTGCCCCCGCCCCCAGGGAGAGGGCCGGCCCGCTCCTGGCACATGACCACCCCCCCCAACCCCGGGGCTGCGGGTTCGCCCTTTTCCCAGACGCCGGGTCCGCCCCTCCCCGGACGCCACCGTCCACCCTCGCCCACCGCCTTCCAGAGGCGGGAGGCGCCCCTGGATCCGCCCCACTGCGGGGCTCAGCCCACCTAAGGCCTCCCGCACCGTCTTCTAGACCCTTCCTTGACCCTGACAGTGCGGGCACGCTCTCTGCGTGTGCACCGTGTGCGAGCGCGCGCACCCAGCGCCGTACCCGGGGGACTGACACCCTTCCCATCCTACAGACGCGCAGCTGCGACGGCGCAGAGCTCCCCCCTCCCGGCGGGGCCGGGCCGCGAACCGCACCCTGGGGACGAGCCGCGCTCCGGGAGGCCGGCGAGCCCGTGGGAGGAGGGTCACGACGGCGGCCGCGGGTCCGCCCGGCTCGGGGCAGCGGGCGCTGCTCGTCCGCGTGGATCGGGGGCAAAAGCGCGCGTAGAGCACGTGCGCTCCGCTCAAACTTCCCTGAAACCCAGCCATCCTGCTGGACGCGACTCGGGTTCAAATCAAGCGTCGCGCACGAGCGGGGCGTCCGTCGTGGCTCGGCCCCCGCGCAGCCCCCCCTCCGCCTCCGCCCAGAACCCGGGCAGCGGGGCGCCGACCTCGGGGGTGGGGGGGGGCCGACCCCGGACAGGCCGCCGCCCTCTGAGCGGATCTGGTTTCTCCGAAGTCGAATAAACCACCGTCTGTCGAATAAACCACCGTCTATTCGTATCTACAACTACCAGACGTGCCCCGCGCGGGCCCCTCGTCTCCGTCCACTCCGCCCACCGCGGGCAGAGTCTGGACAGACCTGGAAACCGCCGGGCACTCAGGCCTCTACCCGGACCCGGCCGCGGCCCAGGAGCTCACGCAGAAAGGACCAGCGCGCAGAGCCCAGTATAAAGGATTTATTTAAACTCAGCAATTAACATAAACCTTCCTTTAAAGTCCATTTTTACAGTAAATAAATTGTATTGTTTTGCTCCTTCCCATGCATGATCACTGTGCATTAATCTACAACTCTTACTTTAATTGTGAAAAAATAAAGTGTTTCCCCTTTTGCAGTTATTCTGAGAACCTGTGGTGTAGCATCAATGAGAAAGGACGGATTTGCTCATCCCTGGACTGGTTATTTGGTTCAAACCTAAAATGTCAGGTCAAAAAAGAATCAATCAGCAATGAAAATAAATACCGCGTCCTGGAAGGCAGCCAGTCCTGCCGCGCCCTTCATGAGACGCGCTCCCACTGGCCGGGTCTCGGCGCAGGGCCCAGGCTCCCGGGATTTGGCCCGGAGCTGCTGCCCCGGCATGCTCCAGGACACCGGGGGACAGGCCACTGCAGGACATCCACGGGCAGTTGGCCCGACGGCGGCCACCTCCCGCTGTCTGAGGGGCACGGCTCCCGCATGCCGTCTGTGGCAGGGACGGGCACGCCTGCACCAGGCCCGTCAGCGCTGGGCCCTCCCAAAGCACACGAGAAACAGAGGACGGGGAGAGGGTGGAGGCGCGGCCAGGCCGGAGCTTTATTGTGGGTCGATCTGTGGGTACACGGTGCAGCCCAGCCGGCACGCCACGCAGCCCACGGCACAGCCACGTGGCCCGCGGCCAGCGCACAGAGAAACGCCCACACGCAGCCACCACCGCCTCGGAACCGCTGGGCGTGGGGACCCGCGTCCAGGACTCGCGGTCGGGGCGTCTCCACGCAGGTCCGGACGGCGGCGTCAGTCCAGCTCGATGGGGCTGCTGTCGTCCTGACTGTCCTCGCCCTCCTGCTCCGAGGAGCCCATGAGGCTGCTCAGAAGGTTCCCTGGAGGCAAATACACGGTCAGGGCCAGGGCGGCGCCTCACTGGGGCTCCTGCACCCCAGAAACCCAGTCCCACAGCGCCCGCTCGGGGCTGTCAGGACCAGCAGCCCGACAGTGCTCATGCCTGTGACCCAGAAGCCCACAGCAAGAACCTCTGCAGGGGGCACGAGAAACGCTCAGGACGTCTGCTGCGCGGTTGGATGACGAGGACGGCCCCACATACCCACCAGTGGGGCCCCGACCCAGCCCCTGGGGGAAGCCAAAGTCATCGATAAGCGGTGTCACAGGAAAACCCTGGATAAACCACACGCATGAGAACACATGACACACAAACCAGTAAGATGCGTCCAAGTCCCAAAGGCCACACGTGAAACACAGCTGCTGTCGCCTGTGGGGCTGTCACCGCCGACACTTTCCCTGTCTGTCTAGTTTTTATCCAGAGACAACCCTTCTGTCAACACAAAGTCCACGTTTACAAAGTCTGCGTAAACCAACCACGGGGGAAATGAGCACAGGAGAGACCCGCAGCGCAGGCAGCGTCCCTGGACACGGCCACCACATCTCCCCTGACCTGCAGCTGGACTCAGGCTGTCACAGCGCACCAACAGCGTCAGGGGAACCACAAAGGCTGGCTCTGAAGTTGCGCCGGAAGATAAACGAGCATGAGAGTCAGGACAGTGGGGACGAGGAGCGACATCGGAGACCAAGCCCAACAGATGTGCACGCGGCCAACCGACAGTCACCTGAGCACAGGGGGGCCACTCAGAGGGGCGGCCGTGCGAGCGCTCGGACGGCGGGTGGGGGCCCCTGCCAACGCCTCCCCCAAACCAACTCCAGACACGCTGGACGAGCAAAAGCCAACTTCAGAGTAGTCTCAGAGACGGACATTCCCCAGAGGCACCTGGCAAGGCCACCACACAGAAATGCTCGCCCGCCCAGCCCCAGAGCCCCAGGCGGGAGCCTCTGATGCGGACACCGGGCTCTGCGGGACGAGCCCCACCCAGGCCTGCCGCCGCGTCACCTGCAGCTCCAGCACTGAAAAGGACGTGGTGTAGTCAGTGTGCACAACACGGGGCCGTTTCTGCAGAGTCAGCCGTCTGTGTATCTGCCCAGTCAGCTCCAGAAGGAAGCCGAGGAGACCTTACGCTGTCCAGGCTGTGAGAAAAACTGTCGGCCAGGTGCCTGCTTGTGAATTCGGAACCCTGTGAAACGTGATGTCCCCGCTCAAACCTAAAATGTCACAGATGAAGGGCTACAAACCCACAGGTCCCGGCCCTGGTGAAGGGAGATGTCGACATCAGAGCTCAGGAGAAGGCAGACAGCGCTGGAGACCCGAGGCGGCACCAGGCTGTGCAGGATGCGGGGTGGTGGCCTGGCCTTGAAAGACAGGGTCAGGAATCTCACCTCTGACATCTGCCGAGACTAAACTGAACAGACCTCTAACCCGTAAGGAGACGATCAGTGATGGAAAACCTCCCAGCACAGAAAAGCCCTGCACCCCGTGGCTGCCCTGGGGAATCCCACCAAACGATTAAAGAACCGCCATCAATCCTCCTCACACTTCTCCACAAACCTGAAGAGGACGGGACACTTCCTAACCCATCCTACGAGGCCAGCATGACCCTGCCACCAAGGCCAGACAAAGACGCCGCAAGAAAAGAAAACTGAAGACCAATATCCCCGACGATCATTGATGCAAAATCCTCCAGAAAATACCAGCAAACTGAATTCAGCAGCGTATGAGGATTACGCCCCATGACCAAGTGGGATTTATTCCTGGAATGCAAGGACGGCTCAACACGTGAAAGCCAATCAGCATAATACCCCACTTAACAGAATGAAAGGAAAAAAACACACGATCATCTCAACTGATGCTCAAGAAGCATCTAACAAAATTCAACACTCTTTCATGATAAAAACACTCAATAAACTAGGCAACGAAGAAAACTACCTCCACATGATAAAGGCCCCACAGGAAAACCCACAGCAAACATCACGCTCAATGGGGAAAGACTGAAGCTCTTCCTCTAAGATCTGGAACGAGACAAGGATGCTCACTTGCAACACTTCCATTCAACACAGCACTGAAGTTCCAGCCACAGAAATTAGGCAAGAAAAAGAAATAAAAGGCATCCAAATCGGAAAGAAAGAAGTAAAATCCTCTGCTTGCAGATATGATCTTACACGTAGAAAATCCTAAAGCATCCACAAAAAAGCTGTTAGAATAAATGAATTCAGCAAAGTAGCAAGAGACGAAGTCAACACACACAAGTCAGTGGTATTTCTGTACAAGAAAAATGAACAATGTAAAAAGAAACACAAAAACAACTGTTTCAATAACCTCAAAAACAATAAAATACTTAGGAATTAACCAAGAAAGAGAAACCTTATACAATGAAAACTACAAAACATTGCTGAAAGAAATTAAAGGAAACATAAACAAATGGAAACACATCCCACATTCATGGACTGGAAAAATTAATATTGTTAAAATGTTGGTATCACCCAAAGCGATCTAAAATCCAATGCAATCTTTGCAGAAAGAGAAAAACCCATCCTAAAATTCATATGGAATCCAAGGGACCCAAATAGCCAAACAACCTTGAAAAACAAAACTGGGGCACTCACACTTCCTGATTTCAAAACTGACTACAAAGCTCTAGTAATCACAACGGTCTGGTCCTGGCGTAGAGACAGACAGACCGACCAACGGTGCAGAACAGAGAGCCCGAAATGAGCCCTCACGTACACGATCAAACGGTTTTTGACGAGACCATTCTATGGGGAAAGGACAGACTTTTCACCAAACGGTGCTGGGAAACCTGGACACCCACACGCAAAGAACGAAGCTGGACCCTCACCTAACACCACGTACAAAAATTAACTCAAAAGGGATCAGTGACCTAAACGAAGACCTAAAACGATAAGACTCTTAGCAGAAAACAGGACAAAAGCTCCACGACTTTGTGTTTGGAAATGATTTCTTGGATACGACACCAAAGGCACAGGCAACAAAAGAAAAAACGGACAAATTGGGCTTCACGAAACCTTAAGAATTATGTGCATCGAGAGAGACAACCCACAGAGTAAGGCAGAGGGGGTGGGAGGGACGAGCGGGTGGAGCACAGAGCTGCTGTGCGTGACACCGTAACAGTGGGTGCACGTCACACGGCTGTCAAAACCCACAGAGCGACACCACCACAAGTGAACCTACGGCCGCTGGGTGGTGATGACGTGTCAGGGCAGGTTCACTGACAGTAAATGCGCCCTCTGATGGGGACACTGATAATGGGGAAGACTGTGCACGTGGGGCAGGGGACGTCTGGGAACTTTCTGGACCATCTTCTTAATTTTGCTGTGAACCTAAAACTGCTTAAAATAAACGAAGTCTTAAAAAAAGGCAATCCAGAGAACAGGAGAATATTTGCAAATCCTACATCTGATAAAGTAGTAATATCTTTACACGCAGCTCCTGAACAGACCACCTGTCTGTCCCTAAAAAGGCAAGTGACGTGACTATCACACAGACACCCGAACGGCTGCTCGCCAGGCGGGTGCAGATCAGGCTGCAAGGAGACAGCAGCTGACACCATCGGAGGGCCGCTGTGACCACTCTCAAAACCACGGAGAACAAGCCCCGTGAGGACGCAGAGAATGGCAGCCACATGTGCTGCTGGTGGGAACGTGGAATGGGGAGCCACTGTGGACCGAAGTCTGGAGGTTCCTCACAACATTAAACACAGAGCCAGGAACACACGACTCGGCAGTCCCGCTCCTGGGCATGAGCCCCAAAGAAGTGAGGCAGGGCCTCCACAGGGCATTTGCACACGCACGTTCACAGCAGCGTGACCCACACGGCTAACACAGAAGCGACCCGCACATCCATCCACGGATGAAGGGATGAGCGAAATGTGGCCCGTCCACACGGGAACGTTCTTCAGCCTCAGAACGAAGGCGATTCCGACACCTGCTACCACATGGACGGCCCTTGAGGACACCGTGCTGAGTGAAATGAGCCGCTCACAGGACAAACACCGCACGACCCCACTCATACAGGTCCCTGGAGGAGATGAGGTCACAGAAACAGAGCGGACTGGCGGGCGCGGGGCGGGGGAGTGAGTGTCTAATGGGGACAGAGTTTCAGTTTTGCAAGATGCAAAAAGCCCGGGAGCTGGGTGGTGGGGACAGGCACACACAGTGTGAGTGTGCTCAACGCCCGGGAACCGTGCACTGAAGATGGTTAAGATGGTGACGTTCTCTGTATTTTACCACAATAAAGAAAGAAAAAAACCTGGCCTGGATTCTGTGGCCAGTGGAGAGAGCCCCGGGCACGACTGTCCCTCGCGGAGCACGGGCCCCACCAGCTATGTTTTGGGAACAAGGCGAGAAAAGGAGCTGGAGGCAGGGCAGAGGGCCGGGCCCTGGGGAGACGCCGCGCAACAGCAGTGCGTGCACGGCAGAGCCCCGAGGCAGAGGCCGGGGTGACAGGGCCTGACCCGTGCAGACCGCTGCCCCCACCCCAGGGGCCCCGGCCTTACCGAGCAGGCCTCCGTAGGAAGACGTCTGCTTGGGCGGCACGCCGAAGAAGAGCTGTCCTATCCTGTCGAGGTACTGAGAGGGCACAGCGGTCAGCGCGGACCTGCTCAGCGCAGAGGCGGCCCCGCCCACCCCCAACGCCAGGCCGCCCGAGGCCGAGCGCCCGCCCCGCGCAAGGCTCACCTCGTTGTACATCGGGTCACGCCGCAGGGACGGCTGGTACTGCTCACACAGCACTGTGAACACTGTCAGCTTGCCCCTGGGACGAGAGGGCACGCCCGCCAGCGGCTCACCCGGGAGAGCAGGGCGGGGAGCCGTGCGCTGGCACACTCGCACGCCTGTGCACACACCCATGCCGACATGCTCCCTGTACACACCCACACGCTCACACCTACACACACCTGTGCACGCATCCATGTCTACATGCTCCCTGTACACAGCCACATGCTCACACCTGTACACACACTCACACCTATAAATGTACATATACACATTTGCATACCTACACACACACCCCTATACACACACACCCACAATGCACACACGAAACTCACCCGTCTACAGCCAACAGCAGAAACCAGATGAAGTTCAGCAGGGGCTGCACGAACGGAGGCCCGCCCTCGATGGACGGGTGCTTCTGCGTGTACGTCGTGAACACCACCGACGCGCTGCTTTTGTTTTTCAAACAGAGAAACCTGGAAATAAGAACATCCTAGTGAGTGGGGATCCTGAGGAAGGAAGACGGGGTTTCTATAAGCATTTACGTGGACGGTGCACAAGGGGTGCCGCCATGTGTGCGGGCCTGGGACAGCCTCTCCCAGGCCGTCCCGACACGGCCCAGGGCTGGGGTGACAGCCCCGACGTTCTGGAGGCCGCCGCTGGGCACGGCCATCCGGGCCTTCACCCGCAGGTGGAATGTCAGGCCTGCAGGGCGATGCACCCAAGGGCAACAGGGCAGGGGGGTGGTGAAACCTGTCTGCTCCGCACCCCCAGGCACCTGCCCGCATAAGCAGCCGGCCCAGGGCCCCAGGCGCCATGCTGGGCACCGGGACAGGCCTTGGTTTATGCCCACGGAGGACACAGCCCTAGGTGCGACCCTCGATAATAGGTTTTTAAGGCATAAAGAGGGATCAACGAGAAGGGGTTCAGTGATCTCATGTTCAGCCCAGAGAAAGTATCTACACCAAGTGCCACAAAGCCAGGATCAGCGAGGTGTGGATTTTAAAAAGGTTTCATTTTTAAAGTCGATGGCGGCAAAAAGCAGCCACGCGTGGAAGCTGTGAGGTGCCGCGAACCACCACAGTGTTCTGTGAGCCTGTCCCCTCCAAACTCAGGGCGCAGCCCGCCCACTGCCCACCGCCCGCCCGAAGATCCATGCGCTCCGTGGGAGGAGGGAACCTCTCCCCACGCCGCGTCTCCACCAGGAGGGAGGATGGCCCCAGCGGGAACAAGTGGGATGGGAGGCGCTTGCGCAGGCGACCCTGCCCCACGTGGGCGCTCACTGCGCTGCCCGCTCGACCCTGCAGCTCGCGGCAACATCGTCAGGTCGGCAGCTGGAGAGAAAACGGGCCGAGGCGGCCTCACGGGCGCGAGGGAGGAGCCGGGACCCAGCAGGAGGGCAGGGTGTGGGGGGCGCTGTGCGCACGGTGAAGCGCAGGTCTTGGAGAGACGGCCCGCGGACGCCGGCTCGCCCCACACTCCCGGAGACCAGGCGAGACTCACAAAGACGGGCGTCCTACAAAAGAACGGTCGTCTGATCCTAAAAACCCAAATCACAGAAGAGACAACGGAGGACCAGCGGTGACAGAAAAATGCTGATTTAGAATGAAAAACTCACTTTTACTGCTCGACTGAAACTTTACGAGCGCCCGAGACCTGCGCTGGCTTAAGAGAGTCGACGAGCAGCATCGGCCGTCCCGCGCGGTCTGCAGCAGAGGCCACAGGGCAAGTGCGCCCAACGGCTCAGAGACACCGCGCGTCTGAGCCGGGGGCCGGGGTGGGGGGCGCGCGGGTACCTACTGTAGCACGGCCTGGGCCACGAACATGTCGACCTCGCTGCGGAAGCCCCTGGAGGTGGAGTACTCCACCAGCATGTTGGCGCAGCCCTCGCCGTCCGTCGAGTGCAGGAAGTGGTACCGAGACTCACAGTAATTCTGTTCTGCGGAGGGAGAGGGGCCCGTCAGGACACGGGGCGCACGACTGCCGGGCCCGCCCCGCCCTCGCCGTCCACACAGCCGCCCCTCGGCGCACACCAGGGAGGGACGGGCCAGCAGATGCCGCGCACGCCCTGTGCCCGGGGGTCCGCGACTTTGCACCCAGCCGCCTCGCGTTTGAGGCGTCAGCCGCACACGGCTAGGGAGGCGGCTTCTTCAGCTCGGCCGAGCTGCGCCAGCTGCCCCGAGTTCCCACACCAACATTGTCTCAGCGGAACCCCGAGGAGCAGCCGCAGGACAGGCCCTGCTGCCCCGCACAGCAACTGCAGGACCCTGATGCAAAACCCACCGACCCGACTCAGCGCCTGGACTCCCGGAGAAGCAGCAGGACCAGGTCGAGGCCCGCCTCTCCCACAGCCCCGAGGTCGCCAGGAGCCCGCACCCCGCTCCCGGCCCACGGCTCACGCCCCTTCTTCTGCAGCACTTTCTGCCCTCGAGCAGACTGCACGGGACTCGGTGGCCGTGGACGCTGACTGCCCCTCCACAGAGAGGGGGGCCCACGGTCTCGTCGATGCCCCATGGAGCAGGCACCGCAGGGAAGACCCTCTGGACGCAGGCCGGCCCGTCACAGCGGGAACAGGACCCAAGAGGCCTGACAGGGCCCGTGTGCAGAGGCACGTGCTGAGTGGCCTGTGTCACCAGCATCTGGACGTCCACTTCTGCTGTGCGCCCTGTAGGGGCTGGACCGGGACACTCAGGGTGGGGTCCGTGGCAAGCGGTCAGGAAGGTGGCCTCCAGCCCTGAGATGGACACTCATCCTAGCGGCTAAGTCACGCACACAGTCTCAGCCCGCGTTTGCCGTGGCCGAGCCTCTAATCAAGGGCCGGGCCGCAGTGCTAACAGAGCCAGGGGAAGGGGGCGGGCGCGCGGGGGACACGTCCTCCACGCCCAGCCGTCTGAGCATCTCCGTGGTGAGCTCGCTGCTCAGCTGTCGAGGGTTCTGACGGTCCCGACCCGCCCAGCGCCAGTGGACGCGCCAGGCTGTGAGCCGGGCCTGCCCTGACACCCTCCCCCCACCACCCAGAAGGCAGCTGCCCTTCTCCCGTGGGCCGCCCCCTACGCCAGCTGCCCCACAGCGGCCCCCACTCGGGACACGGGGCCGTGTCTGGAGACGGTTTTTGCTGCCACGACTGCGGGTGCTCCTGGCATCTGACTGGAGCCCAGAGACGCTGCTTGGCACCCCACAGGGCACAGGACGTCCGGAGCCTTGGCAGTCCCGAGGCACAGACCCAGCTCCAGGCGCAGCCACCGCACCTCCTGCTCAGGCCCCTGGCTCGTCCAGCCACCTGCCCACAGCCCGGCCGTCTCCCAGAGCAGGGCCATCACCCCGTCCCGCTCACATGCCACCCTGGTCCCCACCACTGCTCCTTCCACGGGTGAGGCACTGAGCCACGGCCCCAGCGGCCCGCTCCCTCCTACCTCCTGTGGAGAACACGCGCCCTCCCGAGACAGGCTGTCTGCCCCCAGGCCCCGCATCATCGCACAGCACCCCCCACCTAACAGGCCCTCCAGGCTTGGCCTCCGCTCTCGCCCGCTGCAGCCGCAGAGAACACACAGCGACTCGGAGGCAGCGTCTCCTTCCGTAGTCGCGGCCCGTCTGCCCCCTTCCCTCCCTCCAACCCCCCAAAACCACCTTCTGGTTTTACAGCATCCACGTAAGCAGAAAAACCAGGCAAGCAACTGCGCCCAGCCCAGCCCCAGGCCCCTCGGAGCCCTGGACGGAAGACCAACGCCGCACGAGACGAAGGACTGGGTGGGGTTCGTCATGAGGGCCAACGGAGGCGCCAGCGGGTGGGCCGCGGGACGCAGCAGAGAGCAGGCCACCGCATACCCGCCTGGAGGCCCCACCAGCCCGGGGGAGCCCTGACGCGGGCCTTTCCCAGGCCAGGCTCCCTGCAGACACCTGAACGCAGCCCCTCCAAGCGAACAGGACGCCCACCAGGACACCACACCTCCCCCGACGGCCTGTGCCCAAGGAGTGCATTCACCTGCTCCATCTTGAATCGTTAAGACCCTAACATTGAACATACGTGCTGAGCCACTGAGCATGCACCATGCACGCTGCCTCACGGACACGGGGGCGGCCCACGCTCCGCCTGGCATCCCCCACGGGCCCCACACACACGGGTGGGGCAGGGCTGTGGAATCACTGTGCCCACCAGCAGCTGCGGGCCACCCCTGCTCTCGCAGGCCCTGCTCCTCTGAAGACGGGGCAGGGGTTGGGTGGGCGCACGGCCCCCACCACCTGCTGGGCCAGCCAGCAGACGGCATGGGGCTCCTGGGGGCGCTCCCTGGGCGCCCTGCACCGCACAAGAGGGCTGGGCTCCGAGTGCGGGAGGGTGTGCGGTGTAGACAGACAGCAGACAGGACACAGACGGGCGCTGTGAGTGAGCAGAGGGGAACCCGTGCTGGCGAGGGGACTCAGCTATGCCCTCAGGAGAGTTTCCTGAACTTCGGGGCCTTCGAATTCACTCAGATCTATCTGACTCATTATTCTCAGTAACGTTCCTCTGGGGAGAGGACTGAGCTGGTATGCCAGCACCCAGAGGAGCCCCACGCCCCGCCGGCCACAGCAGGTGGGACACATAGCGGAGTCGAGCGTGTGGCGGGCACCCAGCCTGGCGCTGGCCTTGTGAGAGAGGGAGCGCGGGCGGAGGTGTTCTCCCAGCCCCACATCCCCATCAGAACGGCCGTTCCAGGGAGCCTGCCGTTCCCACACTTGTCTGCACTCACATCCAGAGAAGGCGCCTTCAGCCCAGACCCTCTGAACTCCCACAGCACAAGCCGCCAGCCCATGCCCTCTGCGCCCCACCCAGGCACCTGCCTGGCACCTTCCCTTCAGCGGGCCCGCCAGGTGACGTCCAGCGCGACAGGTGCACACTCCCGTCTGCAGCCAGGGTATGTGGAGGGCCCAGCGAGGGCCGCTTTCTAACCGCCGACCAACCGTCGTCCAGTGCCTCCAGCAGCAGTGCCCGGGCGCCCCTCCCTGTGCCCAACTGGCGGGCTGGGAGCTCAGGACACGGCCTGACCAGCCCCTACAAATGCTAATTAGAAGATGCCACAGGTGCTAAACAAAGACAGCACCTAGCACCCGTGAGTGCTGGTCTGGACAAGCGTCCCAGGAAGGAGGCCCCGTGCTGGGAGGGGCGAGGCCTTGCCGCCCCCGAGAGAGAAGGGTCCCTGGGGAAGGGCCGGCCCAGCACAGCTGCCCACCGCAGCCGCGGCCTTGGCGGTCCTCCTTGGAGCAGGTGGCTCCACCGAGACAGACCGGTTGGCGCCGGGACGCTTGCCCTTCACAGAGAGCGGCCGTGCTGTTCCAGAGCAGGCGCTCCCCTCCTCGGGCGCTGCGGCAGGTGATTTCAACCCACCAAAATGGAAAAGCAGACAAGAGCTGCAGGGAGCACAAGGAGGAACAGCTGCCCCGGGACGACAGGCGCGCAGCCCTCCGGGAAGGGCCTGGGGCCGCCACTCCGGAGCCACGCTCTGCACGCGGGCTCTGCGGGCCTACCTTTCCACAGCGTGAGCGCCAGCAGCTGGTGGAGCCGGGGGTGGCCCAGCTTCCCGGATCCCCCGCTGGACCACTTCAGGGCTCTGGACACAAAAGCCACTCGCTCCGGAGAATTGGGATCCATCAGACTGAACAGTTTAGCCAGGTTTTCTAAAAACGACACACACAGAGGCCCTGACCCGAAGAACAGGCCACCCCTTCAGCTCTCTGCACAGCGCACCTCACTAACGCTCATCGAAAGCAGCAGCCATCGCCCTGCAGTCGAGAGCAACCAGGGCAGCGGGGGCGTCCCAGTGCAGCCCCAGGGGCTGGAGCCATCTGGGCCACCCTCAGTTGGCCTCCCCACTGCACTGCCAGCAGCCACACACTCCTTTCCGGGCTTGCGGCTCAGCCGGCATTGGGAGCCAGACACGGGGAGGGGAGCATGGTGAGAAAGGTGGTGCCAGAGCGGCCGAGGCAGGAGCGGCCTCCTTGTCTTTCCAGCTGGCGGCTCCCACGAAGGCTCCAGCTGCAGGCTGGGCAGCGCGGGGAGGCCAGCAAGGCAGGTCTGTGGCAAGTGACGCCCCACCTCGCCTGCCGGCTAGGAGGCCGCCGTCCATCAGAGCCGGCACAGCAGGGTGGCTCCCGTGCACGCGCGTGTGTGTGCATGTGTGTGGCTACCCAAGAGACCAGCCGGGAGACCGTCTCGAGGGCACAGTGAGAGAGCCTCACCCAGGAGCTCATCGGCCACCTCCACTTCTGCCTTCTCCAGAGACTCTAAGACCAGCATGGACAAGTCCGCAGCACTGTTTTGCTAAAAAACATGGAAACGAACAAAAATCCCACAGTTAGAAACAGAGCTCGGGCCGTTTTGAGGATTTGTGGCAAAGCCAGGCAGCTGCTCTGGGTTCCAGGTGGAAACCCGAGAGAGCGTGAAGCCAAGAAAACTCTTCTGAGCACTGGAGACACCCGGCCAACCGGCGGAGAGTGGATGCCCGGCCTGGGGGCAGCGCCCCAGACACGGCCGGGCATCTGTGCCCGGACCCCAGGACACTCACCCGGACCCCAGGACACTCGCCCGGCTGCAGGCAGAGCGGCCAGCACCGAGGACGGCCCGCCCAGCCCGCAGGCCCTGGCACGGAAGCCCCGGGCAGCGGCTCACCTGGCCGTGGCTGAAGAACAGCAGTGCTCCCGAGCACATGAGCTCCCGGGCCTCGGCGTGCTTGCTCTGCGACGTGTACCTGCAACGAGACAGGGCAGCAGCACGCAGTCAGGGCGGCCACCCCCACGACACGCACGCGCCGCCCCCGTCTAACACGCTCTCCGAGTTAGTGCCCTGGGCCCAGGAGGGATGGTTTCAGACGGCAAAGGCTGAAGACAAGGCGTGAGCGTGAGCGCTTTATGACGCCGCGATGCCAGACACACCCGCCACCAGGAGTGGAAGCAAGGCTGTGCTCCCGCCCGAGGTCGCACCTCACCCAGCGGGCAAGGCGCCCGCCCCCCGGCTCTGTCCAGGCCCCAGGTGGGCTGTCCCACACCCGGCTCGCGCTGCGTGCATGGCTCCCTGCGGTCAGCGACATGGCTCAGGGTAGCGGGAGACCTGTGCCCTGCAGCGCCTCCCTGCAGCGCGCCAGGACTGTCAGGAGGACGAGCCACAGGCCAGGGTGACCGCCACCTGAGGCCAGGCCTTCCACGCTGGCAGGCACTGCACGGAGGGGTGGGTGACGCACCCTCGCCCACTGGAGAACCACGGTCAGGACGACGCAGGGAACCAGGGACAGCAGAGCTCCGCACAGAGACTGACGGGCGGATGGCACCCACGGTGGCCAAGCGACGTTCTCGGTGTCGGCTGCAGGCACGGGCCCCACGCTGACTCCCTCCGGGAGGCACAGGCCTGAGTGGGCACTGTCACCACAGCCCAGCGTCACCCTCCCACTCTGAGCGCATTTCTCACAAAGTGCAGGAGGCGGGGAGAGCCGGCCTCCCGAGCTGCAGAGGGGGACGCACGGGGCAGCCCGACACCCGGCAGCTGACAGGGTGGAATGGACGACGCTTTGGGGCGGCGCGGCCTGGGCCTCACCCGAGGAAGCGAACTCACAGGTACGGCCTCCCCTGGCGCAGCCTGCGCAGCAGTGCAGGCGGCACATTTCGCTCATCAGCTACACGTTTATCGCAATGGTTGTCAGAAAAGAAACACGACCAGCCCACCGGACCTGGGCCTCTAGCCCAAACCAACCCACCTCAGGAAGGATGGGGCCAGCAGCGCAGCACAGGAGGCTCGAGCCGGGAGCCCCCGCAGCGCCCAGGGCCACAGTCAGGCACGGTCGCCCATGCCCGTAACCACAGAGAAGGTCTCTTCTTCAAAGAGGCCCTGCAACCCGACGCCCCCAGGAGAACACAACCCCACCGGTCAGCACGCAGGGTCCAGCGGCCCGGACGCCGAGACCCACCGGGAGACCCCAGCCGGCTGCACAGCAATGGGACTGGGAGGAAAGACCTACGCCCAAGAGAGCAGCCAGCGTCAGCCCACGGGCCACTGGCCCGGCTGCAGCTTCTCGACAGCACGGCTGGGGGCGGCACCCTCCCACTCTCACCGCACACGTGCGTGCACACACGCCGCCCACCCCACACCAGCTCCGGCCGTCCTCCTCCAGTCCCGCCAGGAGCCGCCCTGCACACGACCTGCTGCCCAGCAGCACCAAGGAGGGTTCTGGAAACCAGCCCTCAGAGGAGCACAGCTGCCGCCTGCACACACATCGGCACTCTTCCTAGGTGACCATCAGGCCAGCCTGACGTGGTTTATTCACGACGCAACATGGTTCCAGATTCTTCCACGTCAGATACAGCAAGACAGAGCTCTCAGGAGACCAGGTGAAGCCAAAGGAGTCCAAGAGGCAGACGAAGGCCCCTGGGACAGCGCCGCTCTCGGGACGGGCGGGTGCGGCCAGCTGCGGGCACGGGAGCCCCGCAAGGAGGGTGACCCGTCTACTGGGCCTTGGGACTCCCAGCGCTCACTCCCCTTCCAGCTGGAGTGGCCTGCAGATCAGGACTGCCCGGGACGGCCACCGCGGAAAGCGAACGCACTTCTCCCCGCGGAACGCCGGGCAGGGGAGAGGTTCACTGCTGGGTGACAGCGGGACGAGGCGCCCTCGGGGTCCCAGCGGGCTGGGGTGGCCAAGGCAGGAGCCTTCCGGCACGGCGCCACCCCGCGGCCCTGGCCTCCGTGGCAGCCTGTCCACAGCTGACCACTGTCCACACTGCAAGTCGGCCTCCGCGTTGCTGACGAAAGGACGTCGGACCAGCACGTGCTGGTGCCGTCTGCTGCCAATGGACACGGCAGCACCTCCAGACCACAGGGCACCGCGTCTGCGACGCTTCTAGTCACTTTACTCTTATTTTTATAAAAGGGCAGAACATAGAAACGGAAGCATTAATGTCAGGGACAGGAACGGTGCGGGCGTCAAAGTCTCCACTAAGTGTGGTCCGGCCACCCCTCCGGGCAGGCGCTCCTTCCACCCGGGCACGGAGAACACGTGTTCTAAGTGTTTCTTTCTACAAACGTCCTCATTCGACGTGAGTCCAAACAAAGGCACAGGCCACAGTCAACACGCAGCACAGGTCTCAGGGGCCCTGAGCAGAAGGCCGGCTCCAGCCAGCTGGGCAGGCGCAGGGCACGCTGTGGGGACCCCGCTGGCCATGACGGCAGCACGGGCCACCATCAAAGGAGTCACCCAAGCCGCGGGGTTTGACCGAGCGCCAACAACCCAACAAGCCTGGAGAACGGACTCCCTCCTCCTCGTTGGGGCGGAGAGGTCTGAAGACACGGGACCACCCAGTGCCAGCAGCACCGTTGGTGACACAGCCCCAGGCACTGACGCCGGCCCCCAACCGAGCAGCTGCACCAGCGACCTCTGCCCACTCCCGTGGAGCACACTCCCAAGCCGTCTTCTGGGCTGCCCAATGTCTCCTCCCCTCCTCCTCAAACTGCCGCGGGACATAACGTAAGCGAACTGAAACAGCATAACTTGGTAAGTTTATCCAACACGTGAGTGGATAAACAAACTGGGCCATCCACACAACGAGAGGCCGCTCAGCGATGAAAATGAACGGGTGACTCACACGGGTGAACTCAGACAAAAAACAGGACACACTCTACGATTCCACTGAAGACGGAAACCAGTCTATCATGACAGATCAGTGGTTGCCCGGGGTCAAGAGGTGAGCGATTGATTGTAGAGGCGGATGAGAAAATTTGGGGGCATGATGGATATTTCCAACATCTTGACTGGTCATAGTTTCATGGGTGTACACATATGCCCAAAACTGAACTCATCAAATTGCACGTTTTATATAAATACTTAAGTATAAAAATATTTATTTGTAAAAACACATAAAAGAATACAGTTTGGTGAATTTGACTTCTCCAGGAGCTGCCCACCGTGGAGGGCTCTAACCCAGGGCTGGCACTGAGGGTCTGAACGTGGGCTGCACCCTGGAGGGACAGGGACCACGCCAGCCTGTTTCGGTCAGGCCTCTGGGACGGCCACAATTGCCACTGTCGACTTGGCCCTGCACCCCCACGAGGCCGACGGCAGATCACGCACTTCTCACTACTCCTGAAGGGGTGCAGGGGCCCCGAAAGGACCCAGGAGGAGGCCAAGGCTCAGCGAGGTGCAACAAGGTGTCCTGGGTCATGGGTCACGGGTCATGGAGCAGAGGCGGAATGCGAGCCCAGGTCAAGGCTGGGCTGGTGGGGAGCCTGACGTTCATCACCACCCCCCAGTGTCACCATGAAACGACCACGGGCAGAGGGACTCGCCACTTTAAAGCTAATCGACGCTTACGTTCCTCATGTAGCAGTCGCTGCAAAGCTGGTTCAAGGCAAGGACACCATGTTTACCTCCGGGATGATCCCGTTCTGCTGACTAACCACCGGGGCAAATATTTATATACAAATCCCCAAGAACAGCACAAAAAGCTCGCCGGCACCGGTTTCTGACCGGCTGAGCCGCCCAGCGGGCGCTCAGTGTCACCGAGTGCAAGGCCTTCGCTCATCTTCCTCGTTCCCCGAAGAACCATCGCTCACTCCTACCTGGTCCTCTGGCCACAACGCGCCACATTTAACCCAAACGTAAACTGCAAACTGGAACCCCAGCAGAAGGGACCTCCAGAGTTCCCAGGACATTGATCTCAAGACCGATTCCAACTGGCTGTTGGGAGAAAATTTTAAAATCTAAGCCTAAATGGTGTAAAGGCCAGATCCAAATACTCTTAAATATCAAATACCCTTAAATACCAGTACATTTGCTGTTATGGGGCCCTGCACAGAACAGACTAAATTCTCTAAGACTATCTCTAAAACACATCTAAGTTCTAATGAATGGTCCAATCGTTTTCTGGCTCCAACTACAAAGGACCACAGAAGACGTGTAATGTACACGAATGCCTTCTAAGTACAAAAAAACCTACGGCCGGGGCTGTATGACAGCAGAAACACCGTGACACGCTGCAGTCCAAAAAACTAATGCAAGCGACATGCTACTTTAAAAATTTCTAGGGGGATGCTAAAATAAAAACCACTTTACTTAACCCAATAACACAAAGTACCGATTCAACGTGAAATCAATCTTTTAAAACTTACTGAGCTATTTCACGTCCTTTTTTACACGTGTCTGGAACCCGCGTATGTCTACACTCACAGCCCGCCCCATTCGGGACCTCCCACCTTTCAGAAGCTCAGAGGCGCACGTGGCCAGTGGCCAGCGCACCCGGCAGCAGGTAACAATACCGGGGTCATAAAAATAGCCGGTTTAGTAACAACACACAGCATGCAGCAGGGCAAGAGCGACAAAACAGGCAGAGAAACGTGTTCAAACCCTCACGACTCAACTCCCTGTGGGAGGACAGTGAGACTCCGCGTGGGGGTTTCACACCCAGCGGCGCTTGGGGCTCGGCGGTGGGAGGGCCGGGGGAGGGGAGAGCGGGGGAGAGAGGGCCGGCCGGGAGGTCAAGGGCAGGGCCCGAGGTCGGGGCCAAGGACTAGGGTATAGGGATCGAGGGTCTGGGTTCGGGCTCCGGAATCGGCGGTCCAAGCTCTGGGGTCGGGGCTCTGGGTCGGGGTCCAGGATCTGGGCAGGGATCCGGGGTCCGCGATCGGGATCCAGAATCGCGGGTTTGAGGTCTGGGACCCTAAGTCCGGAGTCCGGGGTCGGGACCCAGGGGCCGGGGTCCGAGGTCGGGTCCGGGGTCCGGGGTCGGGGTTCGCGGCCTTGGCCGGGGTCAGGGCTGGGGTCTGGGACCGGGTGCTGGGCCGGGGTCGGGGCCGAGGTTCGGGGTCTGGGCAGGGATCTGGGGGCCGGGTCCGCGGTCCGGAGCCCGCCCCGCGCCGCCGCGCGCCCCGACCCCGCGACAGCAGCGGCGGGGGCCCTGGCGGCGGCGGCGGGCCCTGGCGGCGGCCGGCTACCTGAAGAAGAGCGTCCGGTACATCTGGTGGGCTTCGTAGTAGTCGCCCTTCTCGACGCTGGCGCGCAGCTTGCCCTCCACGCGCTGGACGCCGCCGCGGTTGCGGGCGCCGTTCCGGGCGCTCTCCTGCTCGGCCATCGCCGCCGCCGCCGCCATCGGGCCGGCGCTCCGCGCAGAGCTGACGCTGTCGCAGGCGCGGTCGGCAGCGCCTCTCGGCTTCCGTCCCGGCGGCAGCCCGACGCCCTCTACGGTGGCCGCGAGGAGCCGCGCGCAGCGGGGGCCGGCGCGCCCGCGAGCGACCACGTGACCGAGGGGCGGGGCAGCGGAGGGAGGCCACGTGACCGTGGGCGGGGCAGCGGAGGGCGATCACGTGACCAAGGGGCGGGGCAGCGGAGGGCGGCCACGTGACCGCGGGGCGCGCTGCCCCACAATGGCGGCGGCCGTGACGGCGGAGCGCGGGCGCGCGGCGGAGGGGAAGCGGAGGCTCGGGCGTCCCGGCCCTGGCCCTCCCCCGAGTGCCCGCGGGTCGCCGCCGCGGAGACACTTCCAGATCGGCAGTGAGAGCGCTGCGCGGGCCGCTGCACCGGCGGGTCCCGGGCGGGCGCGGCGCTCAGGTTCCCGCTGGACGAGGCCGCGCGCCGCGAGGGCTCCAGGGCTCCGAGGGCCGGCCCCGCCGTCAGAAGCAGCACAGGCACGGGCTCGGGCGTTGCAGGAGGGCAGGGCCGTGGCGCACGGGGCTGGGAGCCCTCGGGGCCACGTCCCCGCGGCAGCCGCTCGGGCCTGAGCCGAGCCGCCGGGCCGGCCGTGCGCGCGGTCCCCCTGCTGCGACGGCCTCCCGGCCCGGGTCCCGAGCAGGCGCAGGCGTCCCGGGGGCTCCCGGAAGCGTCACCTTCCCTCCGTCCCCTGCAGGACTGTGGCGGGCACCGGCCCGGAGACTGGGGCGGGGGGGGGCCCGGCGCCCGAGTTGTGCCGCCCGCCGCGGGCAGCGTCTCCTCTCCGCGGCGTCGCCCCTCCCCGTCGCGGTCCAGTGTCCCCTGCAGAGGCCTGCCCCAGCCCTCGTCGCGGCCTCGCGCCCCCCGCCAGCAGCCCCGATGGACAGACCCCGGGCCAGGCTTGCAGGGGCGCTGTGCCCGCACCTCCCCCCGGCGGCAGCAGCACCCATGACAAGGGGCCCTCCGGAGACCCTCTCAAGCAACCTTGTCTGCACTCCAGTCCGCTGCAAGCGGGGACGGCACGGCCCAGGCGAAGGTGGGCGAGCTCCGCGAGGACCCCTCACCTTCAGAGCGCGGCCGAAGGAACACGCGCCTTCGCCGTCCCTCCCCCACCTCCACGGGCAGAAACGAAGCCAACTGAGAAAAGAAATAAACTGTTTATTGTTCATTTGAAACATCACATGCACTTTTAAAAATTAAAACTCTTTATTTAAACATTTCAATAGCATCTTGTCAATTTGGTGGCAGCAAAGGAAGCACTACCAAAGACGAATATTTTGAAAAGCATTTACAAAAATACATTGCACAAAGTCCTATCTCGCATCATTAAAAATAAATTACTATTCAAAATACTTCCACCCCAACTCCCAAATTTTTAGTTTTATATAGGAAATTTTGACATATATTTATCCTGTAATATATGAAACATCTGTATACATTTTATCCAACTTAACTGCATAGGCATTAGTTCCAATTCTAAGAGTGAAAAAAAAATGCTACTTTATGTAGTTTTTGTATATTTGAGGACTGTTGTGCAATATACATAAAACTCTTCAGAAAAACCAGTCAGCACCATCATTTTATCTTTTTCTGAAAATACAACATTTAAGGTACACAAAAAAACTGTCTTAACCCAATAAAACTTAAATAGTTAAGGTAGTACGTCTGTGACGCGGGAAGCGCCGTGCAGATGCCTCATTATAAAGTCCGCTCAGTGGCACAGGCCAAGTGTTAACTGTTCGTCAGAACCAGCCGGGTCTCTGGGGAAGTGAGGAGCAGGGTGGGCAGTCGAGACTCAAGGCAGAGCCCAGGGGCGGGAGGAAGCGCGGCCGTGAGAAACTAGGGCCACAAAATGCAAGGGCCTCGGGAATTTGCCGCTTTGCACGACCTCCTTTGATAACTGTCAGTGGAATAAAACATAAGCCTCTGAAAGATTTAGAGCACGTTAGTGTTCGCTTTTCAGCAAAATTCAAAATAAAACATCCAGGAGGCTGGAATCTGGGTCCTCTTCACGCTGTGAGGGAGACCTCCAGGTGCCCAGTGGGCTGAGCCTGGGGGACCTGAGAGCTCTAGTGACGCGTGTTTGGGTCCAGACCAGCCCCCATGTCAGACTCACTTGACGCACGGCAGAGTGAATGGGGTTAGCGCACGGGCCCCAACCCGGAGAATCTCAGGAGGGGCAGACGAGGCACAAACACCCGTTCCCGTCACCTGCCCACCTGGTAACTGAAAGTAACTACTGGTGCTGAGAAGGACAACCGTCCCAAAGGAAGGGAGTGCGGAGTTCTGAAGTTTGGTGACACTGTGTTTCCCTGAAAGAAAGATGTGCTGGATTCAACAGATGAAATATATCTGCCCCCAAAGTCCTTTAAAAGGGCCATGAAAGGCTAAATACCAAAGCTTCAGGAACACTTCAAACGTTTTAATTTCATCTGCTTTGTTCCTGAAGTCAAGAAAATAAAAAGAGCTTTATGTTCACAAACAAATCCCCAAAACAAAGTAAGTGTTTTCGTGAACCATACATTCAAATGGCTTCCAGAGATCGCTGTTGCTCACGATCTCCGGGCAGCCAGCATTCGACATGCAGTGTTTCTGTGGACAGGACGGCACGGTGGGCTCGGGGCATCCACCGCGTGTGCCTCCACGTCCTCCTGCTGGCAGTGCGTAATGTTTATTCAAGGGGTGGCGTGGCCCTGTTAGTCTGTATGCCCATTCAGGAAGGTTCCAGTGTTTCAGCCGTCCCAGTATATACAAAATGTACAAGAACAGTAGTGGATCTTTACTCGACAGGTTCTCCGTGAACTCTGAACCGATAGAGACACGTGTATTCAGGATGGCCCCAGTTAGAAAGGATCCGAAGTTCCACTATTTGGAAAGCTCCTTCAGGTCTTTTCTGAAATTGAGGGGGGGAAAGTCACACTTACTGCAAATTAACACCCCCAAGCCCAACCCCTGCCCCAACTACTGGATTTGAGTGGCAGGCGCCAAGGTGGAAATTAAGTTTTTCAGAATGAACTAAGTCATCTGTCACGGAACATGAAGCTCATTACGAGCCAGAGACGGACTTTCCATTTCCGTACCTGACATGTTCCCGCAGAGCAAAACACACTGACACAACGCTCAGGGAAAGCAGAGCCGGGAGCTCCAACGTGCTCTCCCCAGAGGGTGACCCTCACACACTCAGGACAGTTCTGTTAATGTCGCTGGCTCCTCTGACACGAGGAGCCAGGAGACTCGGGAGCCCCCAGGAGGCTGTGGCCACGCAGGGCCTTACCGGCACGGGGAACATCTGGAGCGACTCGCCGTCCTGATCGTACGTGAACCGGCCCAGAAGCTCCCCTTCTTCTTGATACTCATTTTCCAATCCCTGAAACCAAACCGTGCAGTCAGTGAATGATGGAAAAGTGACAGTGAGAGTTAGGATTGCTTCTCAACATGAGCTGGGGAAGAGGCCACTGACGCGGTGACAAGGCTTCTCGTTTTGTGAGGCCTCACACAATCCACGACAGCCCATGGGGCAGGCACTATTCCTCCCGCTATGTGATGAAGAAAACAGAGGCGGAAGGAGGGCGGGCAGCAGAGGGTGACTGTCTGACCGCCCGGCCCCTCGGTGCCTGGATGGCCCCCTGGGCCCCCAATGCCCCACAGTGGAGACCCTCAGACCCGTTGAGCCCATGGGCATGAGAACAGTCAGCAGGATGTGGAGACTGGAGGTCACCTCACACAGACAGGAGGCAGAGGGCGGGTGCCAGGGCAGGGGGTGGGGACGGCTGCACGACATGTGCGTGAGCCTCATGTCCCTGAAGTGCACACTGACAGGGGTAAGAGGTAAATATTACATATATTTGACCCCAATAAAAAGGTAACCAGTAGGAAACAGAGGGGAGTATGTGAGTGTCTGTTTCACATGGGACGGACATCCTAGGCATGAACATCCATGGAAAAAATTACAGGCAATGTGCAGAGGGAGCTAAATGCAAAAGAAGCCTGGCAGAGGGAGTGCGTCTGTAACAGAACAAGACATCATTACTATCTATATAAGAAAAAGCTCAAATATCTGTAAGGAAACTGAAATCCCAAAAGATAAATGAATAAAACACAACTAGAACCCTCAAGAAAGAAAACATGCGTGTGAGCTACACAGAAACGCGAGTCACGGCATTTTCACCCACAAGTTAGCAGAGAGTAGGAGGACGGGACTCAGTCCGAAAGGAAGCTGAGGTGACCACACTTCTGAGACATCAAGGGACGTGCCCATGCCCGCCCCACCCCGAATCAGCAGTGCCGCTCCCGACCGTCCATCTGAGGACAACTGGAGATGCTGCGCCGACCCTGGGACGGCAACTGGAGCACCCGACGTGGGAGGCGGGAGAGGGAGGCACGGGCTAGCCACGCAGCAGTGTCCCATGCTGCTACTTAGAGACAGGCAGAGAGTTATTGCCGTGGAAAAATATTTATGGTAAATTTGGCTTTTTAAGGCAGGAACCAATTTTATGAACTGTGTTGTCTCAACTATATTTTTTAAAGGGACAAAGAAGAGACCAAAACATGCTACAATATTAACGGTGACTTCTCCAGGTGCTGGTATTCTGGGTGTTCTTTTTCCAACTTGCTTATGCTCTTCTGTAAATTCAACACCACACAGTTGTCAGAGCTGCCTCTAGAGCCAAACAGGCAAGAGAGGTGGGATAAAGTCTCCAGGTCGGGCAGGCTGACCTCGATCTGTCCGGCACCGCACACAAGCTGGGCGCCAGCTGGCACGCTCCTTGTGAGTGGCTCCCCCAGGGAAAGCACTGAGATGCCCCCCAGACGTGACTGCATCCTCAGAGTGTCGAGGGCAGAGGAGGAAGAGCGGCTACAGCCAGGAAGCAGCCTCGCCGCCTCAGCCTCAATGGGGCTCATCTTTGGGAAACGCCCAGTGGGAGGGGAGGAGAGCGCCTCCCGGGGCCAGAAACACTCACGTAGACGGCAAAATCCTTGGGGGCGCTGGTGATGTTGCCGGTGGGCGACAGCGTCTTCGGGATGTGCTCCAGCGTGAAGGTGGTCGGGCGGATC